CTCAAGTGCCATTTTTGGTGGTTTAAGTTTAAGTGCAATCCCAAACCTTCAATCATGTTCCTGGACTGAGCCAGCAGTAAAATATCATACTGAGACAGAGTGGGACAGCCAGTGTTTTTCAGGAAAGAAGAAAACAGTCCGCTAGGGCTGCTCAGTCAGAAAGGCAAATAGAAATGGAGGAAAAATCATGCCTCTGAGGGAGGGAAGTGGATGGGACCATCATATTTTGTGGCAGCATCATGATATGAAAATAAAACCCACAACTATTTCATTCCATCATAAATACAAACTATTATAAGAAAATATTTTATAAATTTGTGAGGAATTACCACAGAATTCCTGTCAGAAATAGCACCACCACATAGACCTAGAGAGGCACATAGAGGTGAGGGAGAGGAAACATCAGCTGAGAAACATCCTAGTCAGGAGGCAGAAATTATGAGAATAAAAACTGAACTGGCAAAAATAGATGCAGAAAAAGAATTAACCAAAATTCAGGCAAATAAAGAACAACAACTAGAATTATCCAGTACTGAGGTGGAAAAGCCTAAATTGGCACAGCAAGAGAGGGAAGCCGAGAGGGAACATAAAAAAGAAATGTATAATGTGAAGATGAAGGAAATCCAGTTAGAGGCAGAATTGCCGCTTCCACAGAGAGGTGGGGAAAGTACCTCAGTGGAACAAAAGAAATGTCCATGTTCTCAGAAAGGGGATAATGTCTAGGCATTTCTCTTCAGCTTGGAACAAACTTGTAAAGATTTTGGGGTCCTAGATGAGGACAGAATGATTTATTTGCAACCACAGATTTGTGGAGGACTAAGTGAAGTTTACTCAGAGATGAGGGATGAGGAAACCTCAAATTATTTGCTTTTTAAGGAGAGAGTCAGACTTAGATTTGGGCTGACAGCTGAATAAAGTAGAAATACTTTCAGAGAAAATAAAAGAAAGCAGGGTGAAACATACACACAGCAGGGTTGTCATTTGGACAGAGCTTTAAAAAGATTGGTTGCGGGAAGTAAAGTATAGACATTTGGAGAACTGATATAGATAGTCATTGGAACTATATTTTTATGTTTATATACACTATTATTAAATGTAGTATATAAAAATAGGGGAAAGGGTAGCAACAACCCTGTATGATTTTTATGAATTTGTTCGTATATCCACAGCTGGAAATATATACTAAAAGCATTACATAATCTTAAAGAAGTAGAAATACATTCAGTTAAAGGGTGAATGAGATGGTAATTGATTAAGCTTGGGTATACTGAAATTAAGTTTTACATATTTAGAAACTAGTGGAAAGTATAATTAGAATGTTATTTTAAACGTCAACATAAAGATTTTAAAGAAAGTGTGAATAGCTTAAGAAACTCTCATTAGTCTGAAATATAAGAACTAAAGTCTGTGCATGTACTGGTTTTACCTCTGAGTTATCTACATTGAGTTACCTCAGAACTTTCAACCCCTGCTTTCATCTGACCTTTCCCCTCTATGTTGAACAAAATTTTTAGTTAATTTAGAATTTCAACACATCTCAAGTCCCATTTTCAGTAGTTTAAGGGGGATCCCGACCCTTCTTTCTGGGCTGAGCCTGCAGCAAAATATCATACCGACACAGGGTGGGACAGCCAAAGTTCTTCAGGAAAGAACAAACAGACCACTAGGGCTGCTCAGTCAGAAAGCCAAATAGAAATGGAGGGACAATCTTGCCTCTGAGGGATGGAAGTGGATGGGGCTATCATAGCAGCATTGTAGACCAGTGACCAATCTCGAACAGTAAGCCCACCGGTCCTAGCTGGCTCACACACTTCACTGATCCTCAGACCCTTATGCTGGCAGATTTTGCCCTTGGCAAAAGGCTCGACAGGTTTATCTGCTTCAGTAGAATATCTGAACCTGAAACAGGAACAGCTGTTTAGCAATGGCTTAAAATGTCAAGCGGAAGGGGGAGGTGAATGCCCTGACCCGAAAAGACTACGTTTAAAGCTGAAAGCTGAAAGGGCAGCTTGAAGGAAGCGAATTACAATGGAGTGTGCGGCGGACCAGCAAAAAAGCGATAAATCACCAGACTTACGGAGAACTTTAAAACTTTCCTCTTGTGTAAACAATGACGCAGCGAGCAGAAGAAATGGCACCGAAAGTGAAACTTATAGCCAGAATGGCCAGCACATCATCGCCGGCTACTAGTTCGGAAGTAACCACAGACTTTCCCAAACTGATGGTTGCAGCTTTGCGCCCTCTACTGGACCAGATGACCAACTTTAATGTCAAGCTTGATACGTTGCAAAAGAAACTCAACACTTCAGCGAGAAAGAAATAAAGCGGATATTCCTGAAGCAACAACAGAAACCGGCAGATGGACCTGAGACAGTGGAGAAGAACAAAGATGCAGAAGAAGAGAAGGATGGGGAAGATTCTGATATCATCTCAATTAGTCTGGCAGAATCCTTTGATCCTGATGCAGAATCAGGGGCTCCCACCCCTAAAGCATTAAAAAACTAATTTGGACTTTGACAGGAGGAAAGGAAAATGCAAAATAGTTTAACTTCGATAGCCTGATGTTTATTCTTAATGCATAACCTTAAACCTCTGATATTTACACTATAGCCAAAGAGATTGTGATTGCTTGCTTGACACTTCTATATTATTAATCCTCATATTTACTATTAAGATAATAGGGATGTATCAACAATCTTCTATTTCTGTACCATGGATCCTTGTTACTCTTTATTTTAGGTTCCCTTCCCCTGTAGGTTTGTAGTTTAGAAAATAAAAAAATTGAAAAACCAAGCAATGCTCCCTATCTGTAAAACAGTTTAGTATTTGCTTTATTTTGCAATGGCTACAGTTACATTTCTGCTCCTTCAAATCTTGTAGCTATAATCTGGACTCTTAGTGCTGCCACTGCCCACACACATCCCTCAGTACAAACTGATTTCCTTTTTGATCTTAGATTCTAAGTTTAGATCTATGATTTATCTACATTTACTTCTGATACCAGATACTGTGGAAATTTCCTTCAGATTGCAAACTGCAGCAGGTGATGGCTCCAATGAACTCCCTAAAAGCATCATACTGTTGTGTGGGAATAAGGGGGGGGGAGGCAACTTTACAACTGACTATCTCTCTTAACACTTTGGCACACTCTTAAGGAAGGGGCAAATGTCCAGTTGCCAGCACAAAGAATAATGAGCACAAGGGACATACCTGGTGAGTGCTGTCCCCAGCCTAAAGGCACAACAGAATGTTCCTGTTGCCCTAGGCAAGTACTTGATACCGCTACACAAGAAAGTGCTTCCCAAACTGCATTTTACTTACCCAGTAACCCCATTTCAAACAATGCAGTATCCTAAGATAGAAATGCCACTGGTATATAATGGGTTTCACCCCAAACAAATTGTCTTTAACTTTTTTGTCGTGTTTGAAATTCAGGAACAAAACTATAGAACTGGCCAGTTCCAGAAGCAAACACTTTGGTATAATAAAATTACCTTTTCTCCTAAGTACTGCAATAAATACTTTTGCATATTAGTTTACAAACAAGATCCATCTGCCAACACAGATAAAAAAAATTACCAGCATGCTTTCCCTCACAAAATAGCTGACATTAGAGGGAAAGGTTCTGAAAACAAGGGGTTTAATTGTTTGAGTTAGGTATAGATTTGCAGTCAGGATCTTTACTGCTTATTTGTGGCAAGAACTGCGGAACAGGCAATGGTTATGGGAAAAGATGACTGAATAATAAGTGTTAATTTTTTTGTGTGTTGTTGTTGTAGTGTTACCTGCACAGTCTTTCATTCAAGGGCAGGCAACTAATTCAAATTAAACAGTTGGATACCGAAAGCCACTCTCTCATACTTACTTTTCCTCCAGCTGTACATATGTTTAAACACACACTTTCAATTCACCAGATTAGGAATCCAGACTTCTCACATGGCCACTTGTCACCTTTAAACTTCCCATTCCCTGCTGTACCCACCCTTCCCCAACCAACAATGCCCAAATAGTTCCTATTCCAACCTCCAAAGCCATCCACCCCATTTCACAAAGGCTACCATCTTTGCATTCACAGATCTAACCAGCCTACTGGTACCTCTAGCCCCAAGGGCCAGTGCAATTGAGAGACGACCATGGTGTCAAATTCCAGGGACAATCAGTTTAGCTACATACACATCTTGGGGGGGGGGGGGGTTGTTGCCTGCACTTTTGGAAAGAAGACAAACAAAGAGCTCAGCAGCTGATAATGATCAGAGTAGGATCCTGGAGCATTCTAATCTTAGCCAGCTCACATATATAAGCACAACTGGGAGAGAAGACAAAAACAGGACAGATGTACTAAGTGTTAAAATTGAAAATCAATAAAACAACCTCACTGTCTATCCTTTAACAATGAGTGTATTACTACTGAATGTGTGCATTTCCATTATACTGGATCAAGCTACTGTTTTCTCAACATCAGCATTATTTACTCCGACGGGCAGCATCTCACCAGGGTCTCAGGCAGAGGGTTTTCACATCACCTGCCATCAGATCCTTCTGAGTGGGGTTGCTGGCAATTGAGCCCAAGACTTTCTAAATATTGCCCAACACAGAAGGCACTGGAAACAGGGATAAGATTTTCAGTTTATAATGTCACACTGACTCACACAAAAAGAGACAACTAGTGGGCCAACCATCGCTTAAAAGGGCCTTCTTGATGCAGCCAGCCTACAACCAATGAAGTGGCTAGAGTTGGTATCCTAGGTCCAAAGCCCAACCACCCTCCCTCAATGAGTGACCCACCTTACAGGGCTGCTGTGAGGACAACCCTCAGTATATTGCAATAAGCTCCTTGGAGGAGGAAGAGACGAATGACACCCTCCCTCGCTCTGAGGGGCAACCACACGCTCCCGATCCACGCCATCCCCCCTGTTCTATCACCACCCCCTTCCAAGCCTCCCTCTCAGGGTCTCCTCCTCAAGGTGAGGCCCAGCCGCACGCAAAGGAGTTCTACTAACCGGCGGTGACAGCCAGGCTCACGAGCAACAACGCCACGGCCCACAGCAAGAACGTCGGCCCAACCCGCCTGCGCGGCTCCATCTCGCTCACGATCCCTGCCCTGAGAGGCGACACCGACAGAGCCCTCCGTCCGGCACTCTCGACCCCGCCCACCAACCACGCGGCAGCCAATCACGCGGCAACGCCTGGGCAGCCCCAGCGCCGCCAGCGCCTCCAATCACTGCTGGACGTTGTCGATGCCAAGAGCTCATTGGCTCCGGCGTTCCTCGACATGGCCTCTTCGAATTGGGTAAAAACAGCCGATTTCCAAAGCTTATGCGCGTGGCTAACGCCTTTCTCTCAGCCAATCAGGAGGACGAAGATGCCACGCTTGCCTTCCCTTGTACAAAGAGGTTTTTTTTTTTTTGCAAAAAATAATTTTCTTCCGGTTTCTGATTGCAGCTCGTAGAAAAATTCGCATGGAAGCCCCGGTGAGAGAAAAGGAGAAAAAAATATTGTCCTTGGGTAGTTTCTTCGCTAACTTTTTTTTTCCATAGAGAGGGTAATTATTTCTAAGTGTTTTAAGGAAACAGAACCTTTAGCCTCTGCCGGTTTTATTTAACTTTTTAAATGGGCTTCCACTAATGCCCCGCACATGAAGGTTTCTATGCACGGCAATACAACCGGAAGTAAATTTCATTAATTGAAACCATAGCTCTTTGCCGTGTTGCAAAGCCTGCAGTCGAAGAGCGCGCAACACACAGAGCCGGAAGGATTGCAATAATCAAGAGGCATTGCGAAAAGCTTTTTACCCCGAGGGTTTTAATGCGGGACTTTGTCCTGGGCTTCTGCGCTGAAGAAACGCAGTACCTACAATGTCAGCAAATGATTTCTGATTATGGCTGTGGTCACACACACTAAATAATCCTCTTTAAGTGCACTTTCCAACTGGATTTTACTGTGTGAACAAGCAAAATCCAGTTAGAAAGTGCGTTGAAATTGGATTATTTAGTATGTGTGCCTGCAGCCAGTTGGCTCCCACGAAGTATCCACCCAACTCTTACGTTTGAAAACCTGAGTATAGCGGGAGATTATTATTAATTAGTTAAATTTTCCGACGGAAGGCAGTTCTTTTGCTTGGATTTCCGGGATGTGTGATTCTGTGTAGAGCAGTGACACTGGCAACTGCTTTTAATTTGAGGTCTAGTGCGGAAAAAAAGTGATCTTTGAGTCCTGAAAATACATCTTATGTTGGTAGGAAGTTATCTATACATTTTGAAGCGAAAATTCTGCATATCTAGCCTAGATTTAAATCACAAGCTGAAGAATCTTTTGAGTGCATTAAATGAAATTTAGTTTCAGAATAAGTCCTTTCACTGTTCCAAATGATGGGAGCCCGGTTAGCACTGAGGAGAAATTAACGTCTTAAATTAGTATAGGTCCCTTGAATCCCAGGAGGCTTTCTGTACTGACTCTCCTCAACTCTCACCTCTTCAATAGACTGTCATCTATAAACCTGTATCTGTAGTAGTGAGGCATGGATTTCACCTCTAATAATCACCTTTTATTTGATCACGAAATCACATTTTGAGGTGCTAATCAACTGTAAACAAACCTTTCCTTTATTAATGGCTTATTTGAATCTTTGAAGCAATCTGCTTTGCAGGTCTTTAATCTTATAAAGAACCCCAGATTGGAGATTTTTTAAAGCTTCAAAGACTATTTTTAATGCTTTTAGAATGCTGGAGTTATGTTAACAATGGATTATGATTAAATCAACATCTCAGGTTAGTTCCCTCTCCTTGAAGTTGATTGGGCTAGCATCCCAGAAATTTCCTTTCTTAGTATCTCTTTGAAAAGATACTTCGGTTCCTATGAAAAGAGGTTCTATTTTACCCTTCTGGGGGGATGTCTGTCCATCTGATGATCTAAATATAATTCTTTAGTAACTAATTAAGACTATAGAATTGGTTTGTTCTTCAGTCCATCTAGCTATAGAATTTGACTTCAGTTTACATTTCTTTTTATGTGCCTCCCCCCTTTATTAAAACCACTTTTCCATATTCAGGTGTTCAAGGGAGCAAGCCAAAGTCAGTCTACAATTTTATTCAATGGGGCTTACTCCCTGAATAGTGTTTGTAAGATTGCAGCTGTTGTGATTCTGCAAATTCCAACCCCGTTTTGTGTGCCTCATTGTTCTGCAGTGTTACAGATCCAAGAAGAGTGGAAATAAGGAAGGCTGAGAAAACCTTTGCACTTGGAGTGACTGAGGGATCAGCTGCCTTGGCCAGGTAGCTTCTATCTGGTAATGGTTTCTTTGCTATAGTGTATAGGATTTGATGACAAACAGAACCTCTGAGGACTGCCTCACAGACTGTGGAGATCTGTAAAATCTTGTGAAAAGGGAATACTTCAAGCCACCTTAGATACCTGGTTCCTGAGATGCCTCTTTTCTGGGCTCTGGTGAAACTGACAAAGTTCGGGAAATTTCACAGATTCCTTGGAGAAAAGGAAAGTGTCCTCAGTAGGGTTTTTAAGAGAAACAGAGGTGGGTTACCATCAATGTTCCCTCTAAGCTGTGGAGTCTTGTGAGCAAAAACTTTACTTTGTGAGCTACTACCATTAAAGTTGTGAGCAAGCAATTTGGCTACTGCATAAATTAGTTTGCTCTGGAGCCACCCTTCCTGAGCTAAGACAAAAATGTGTGAGCCGGAGGCCAAAAAACTGTGAGCTAGCTCACACTAACTCAGCTTAGAGGGAACCCTGGTTACCATTGCCTGCCCCTGTGTACCAACCCTTGATTTCCTTTGTGGTCTTCCATCCAGGTACTAACCAGTGCTGACCCTGCTTAGCTTCTGATGAGATCAAGCTAGCCTGGGCCATCCAGGTCAGTGCTCACAGATTCCTTATCAGTTTTTAATGTTTATGTTTTAGATGAACTTTTAAAAATAGATTTTATTAATTTTAATGAACTTTTAAATAATGTTTGAAATCAAAAATGCACAACTGTTTATCCCTTGCCTGTATGAAGAAGAAAATGCAGCAACGTTGAAATGTGATCAACTGCAAATCTATTTTCCTGATGACCATTAGCTGATTAAAGAACCTGATGCAAATACATTTAAAAGCTTGGCTTTGTCCTCTTTCATATATGCACACCAACTACAGAAAAGAAAGTTTTTAGGTAGAATAAGAGAAATCTGTCTTGGACAGCAAAAAAGAAAATCTCTTGATACAATCTTTGGCATTCATCATATCCTCATCTGAAATTCTTGGAGAAAGGCATGTATATGGAAAAAGAACTGAAAGCCTATTCAGCCAGTTTATTCTCCTCAGGTGCCTTGCCTATAAGTGGCTTGCTTATTAAGGAGCGATCCAAAAAGGCAGAGCTGAAGTGAGAAACTCAAAAAGGAACTAATTAGCTTTGCTTTATCTCACTCCCTGGAGATGTTAGTTCAGAAAGCAATCTTGGAACCATTAACTGGCTGGTGCACAGGTAACTCTTACAAAAATCTCTCCTTAATGCAAGCTGAATTTTAAAGGCACAGACTGCCGCTCCTCATGCATATATGAGATCTACTGCAAAAACTGTTTTCTGTCATGGGTCTGTGCTACAACGTCACCTGCCCTGTAACAGAGAATGCCAAACTGAGACAAAAATATTCGGCAATATACACCATGGTGATCTTAGCTTGAGGTTGTAATGGTGGAGCACAGTAAATGTTTTTCTGCTGGTTGAATGGATCCACAGATTTGCTTTTGAGGTATCAATAATTGTGTGCATTCAGAAAGTAATTAATACAAATTTGAACTGTGGCTCATTGATTGGCATCAGAAGGGTAACTATTTCTGTTTCCCAGGGTGGCAGTTAGTAGGAGGGACAGCAAGGGGCAATAAGGAAGTCAAGTGGTAAGTTCCTGACAGGCACCCTGTCCAACCACCCATCATGTTCATAATATAACTTTCTGTGGACCACCCAATCATGCTGCTGCCTCACTGACTTTGGAAGGTGCTTATTCTATTTACCCAGGAGTGTAGTTTGAGTCATTTCAGCTCATGGGATGATGAAAAGGGATGGCAGAAAACAGGCAGAGGGACGGAAAGAGCAAAAGATTGTTTTGGTCTAAGCACAATTCCACTACATATACATACACAGGGAGGCCTGTTGAATTTCTGGCAGTTTTGAGGAAATAGCGAAAGGCTTTGTTTGTAAACTCTGTAAGGTGAGAAGAATGATGTGCAACTTGATGGGCAGCCAAAGAGCTAACAGTCTTCTCTTCTTCCAATAGGTAGCCTGCCCAGCGGAACCTATTTTCCTCATTAGGGAAATCTACATGCACATGTAAGTTTCCCCAATGGGGCTCGATTAGTGGCTCCCTAGGGCTGTTTCAGTTTGGGCAAATGGCACAGTGGGGGAAAGGCTTAAACCCTGTCTCCCCATAACCACAGTCCAGATCTGAATTTATTTTATTATTTCTTTTACTTTTATAGTCTACTTTTCTTGCTGAGACTCAAGAAAGATTACCAAATTTCATGACAATGCAATGGGGAAACTGTATTACAACAGTTAGAAAATCTCTCCTTATATACAATTGTGTTTTGAAATGGCACTTTGCAGCTCTCCCATTGGCTGTGTAATGCACTCCATCAGCCATTGGCCCGTCAGCCGCCACTCAAGAGTACTCATGCGCCATTGGCCGGGTGCTGGGTTTGCTCTTCTTCACCGCCCACTCCCCCTTCAGCCACTGTGCCCCGTCAGAATTACTGGCAAACAGCTTTCTCTCTTTACAAAGACACTTCTCCTGCTTGCCTCCTGTGTGGGACTAACTTTCTCTTCAGTGGCTGTTGGTAGGTGTAACGAAATGGCAGTTACCTGTGTTTGAAAGATGGCTGCCATCTGTGGTTGTTTGTTTAAAATGTTCCCCCATAAGGTTTAATTGAGCTGTAGTTCCAGAGAGGGGCCTGCAGGGATATCAGTCACTGGGTCGAATGCGGCTTCCTCATCTGCTGGCCTACAGTTCCCCGCTGCCCCAAGGCCAAAAAGTGTGGAAAAAGAGGGCCTGTCCCAGGGGGTGTGGCAGCATCAATATAGACTCCAGCCCATCCAAGGAGGAGGCAGTCTTCATC